AATATAACATCATGGGTTTGGGCCTTGGACTCGGTGTTGCCGCAATGGCACAGATGCGGACAAATGAAACTCCCTCTTTGACTTCATCTCAAGGTTTATCACAGCCGCAGCGATTCGAGACTACTAATTTAGCAGGTACTGCCGCTACAGTCGACAACGGTGATCGTCGATTTAGTGGTGGATCAGGAGGTAGTGGTGCAGCGGGAGGAACAACAGGAGCATCATCAGGCGGAGGACAAAACGATTTAAGCAAAGTACAATCATTCTTTTATCGATAAAGCAATAACCAGTGGTTTTCTTTTTTTTTCTTTTTTTTTTTTTTTTGGAAGCTTGTGAATCTACCAGTTTGAGATTTGTATCTTTTGTCACTTCTTGGACTCTTTTTATGAAAATTTTATTCCAACTTTTATACCTTTCAACTTCTTGGACTGCATTTTCTGGACTTAATTATATCGAGCAGAAAATTTTCGTAGAATTTGAATTTTATCATAAATTCCTGCTGCTTCATCAAGTTCTTGAGCACTAATCAATGCTATTTTTTTAAGGGAATTTTAACGTTATTTTGTTCTAAATCATTTAACGATTTATTTTGTTCTGAATCATCTAAATTATTCTCAGTTTAAATTCTTATTTATCATCAGCCATGCATGCCTGATAAATCTTTTGTTGTGGAATAGAAGAGAGTGAACGCGAGTAATGTGGCGCGCTCCCCGGTGTCATATTGCATTAATTTTTACTTTTAATGTGTAGTTGGCAAGTAATTTCAACTACTTTCATCAGCCTGCAAAATAATTTTATGTGGCATCATCGTTGAGCGCTAATTTTATTATTTTGAAATCAGTTTTTTTTTTTTAATCGCTCTTTAAGTTCCTTTTGTTTTAATATTTATTTGTATTAACAATTTGCATTTTCTCTGTTTAAGTTCCCATATCATTATATAATATATCAGTAAGTCTTGTTTTCATTCAATATATTTTCCCTCGTAGCAGTTTTTTGCATCTGTGTTCATTGTAGTCTTGAATTTCATGCTGATATCTACTATTGATACTCATTCATTCTTTAAATTTCCGAAAAAACTTCATGAAACTTTTATTAATTTTTGTGATTTTTTATTTTTCATAAAAAAGATAAGTATATTTCTATTTCTGGATTGCCAGTAAAAATCAGTATGCAGATAAATAGTGCACTAATTTCGTTTCATATTAATACATCCCGTTTATTATTTATGATTCTTTCTGGATGGTCAACATTTTGTTCCGAAGATTCCAAATTTTCCGGAATTCTCAGGTCATTTGGTCCGTTAGACTCGTTAAGTTTAAGTCATGAACTATGAACAATTAGGCGCTAGCTTAAACAGCTAATTTTTACTTCTTTCGAAGTATCTTTCAGTTCTTTCTAGTTAGCACGAAAGTTCAGGTATAACGAAATGCGAACTGAGTTTGTAAGCCTCATGTGGTTTGGGTATAGATTCAGATTCTTATAAATGTTACATCATGGACAGTTTTTGGAACTGTTTTTCAATCCTTTCAGCGGTCACAATTTTTGTTTGAGTTTTCATTAAAAATGAATTTCTTTCGTGCAGCGTTTGTTCTGCTTTTTTTTCTTATTTTATGAACAAGCATATGATTCGTTAGAGTTTTTCATTAGGCGCCCTTTTTAAATATCGCTTTATATTCCGCTAATTATTGGTTTTTGCTTTTTTTTTTTCGACATTGGTTCTATTTATAGTTACACTGTTTTCTTAATCGACTAGAAATTCAGTTTCCATTCGATTCTTTTTTTTTATGGGAGATGTTTGTTTCACCCCCTAGATATCGGTTAGGAATATTCTCTACAGTAGTCATTTGTTGACTTATACAGCCAATATAATGCGATTTTAAATTCGCCGGTTTAAATTTTTTAAATCTTGTCTGATACTAAGTTACGGATGGTTTCAAAAAACATAAAAAACCGAAGTGTATCGGATTTGGAAGTTTGTTGGTAGGTAATCGTTTAGTAAAACATTTGATTTGCTATTAAAGATAGTGGAACATTTTCTGAAAAGTTTATGTGTGAAAATCAAAACGTAAAGTAATGTCAGATGAAATTCAGAGTATTACGTTTGACAGTTTTTTTCTAAAGCTGCGTGACCATGAGTTAATGTTGAGTTCATTCGATAATCATTTAAAAATGTCAGGAAGATTTTTGTAACAAAAAATGACGGACTTGTGATTTGCAAAAATTCATTTATAAAAGAAGTAACTAATTTGCGAGATAGTCGTTGGGGATGTAATACTTTGGAACTATGCTTATAAAGAGTTAGAAATATAAAGGAATTCTACTTACGGAAATTGAAAGCTTGAACTCAAACTTACGGAAATATCTTATAGTCACTGAGTGGCGTTGGTGGCGTTCTGATCGACGTATTAAGCCAGAATAAACAAAACAGTAGCTCATCGAGCGGTCAAAATTTTGCCGCTTCCGTAATTAAGGAAAAGATTATCGACAACAATCATATTGATCTCGAGGTGGGCAAGCGGCCTTTTTTCTTTAAACTCAACAGAGAGTCAAATATTTGGGGTCTTTCTGAATAATTCTGTGTTATATGTCTTAGTGAGCGCAAAATCTTTTCATTTTATTAAGGAATTTATGAGTAGCCTTCAATAAACCAGAAATGGATATCTCAGTTTACATTTAGTCGTAATTGGGCTTCGATTTTCCAGATTCCGGATACCATTGTCGGAGCAATCCTCGGTCCAAGAGCTAAAACACTGGCTGAGATTCAGCATTTAAGCGGTTGTAAAGTGGAAGTACACAAACGTGGTACAGCTGCAGGACAAGGGAATCGTCTTGTAAGGTATGTTTTAACTAATAGTGTGTTGTGAAACTTGATGAAGGAATTGACATTTTTATGTTGACAGAAGTTAGGATGATAGATAGAGGTAGTGTTTTTTATTGTTCAGGTAAACATAAAAAATAGAATTAGTTGTCAAATTTGAAAAACTAGTGATTAGAGAATAAGCAGTGGTGGATGTGTTGGATGACAGTTGTGTACGGTGACGAAATATGAAAAATTTGCTGCGTAACTATGGAATAAAAATAGTTTCAGTGCACTCAAAGTTGTTAATCTATTAATTTGAATGATTAGTCATAGCGAACCTGTAATAATGCATTCCTCATATTTAACGGGCTTGCTTACTCTTAGCAACAGGCAAACAAATGCTTCAGTATTTAAAAAGGAAAAGAACTTATTGTTCGCGAAAAAGCATTTCTTGATGTTGATAAGTAGCGGAGAATATCAGGAACTATGGAATTTGATTCTCAAAAGGAAATGATTGTCATATCCAGATGATTAAAAAGAAAACACAAAAGAAGAAGGAATTCTGTTGATAATATAAAAGGCAACATATTTGTAAAACATAGTTCTATTAATTTATACTTGCATCTCAGATATCAACATCCGTATGGTTTCAGCTTAACCGGAGATGTGGACTGCATACGTAACGGACGTATGATGATTGATAAAGTTATCAACGATGAGCAAATGCGTCGTAATCAACAGGCACAGAATAATGCACGTGGCGGATTTCGTTGACATTTTTGAAGCTTTTCTTGATCCCAGATGATAATCATTCTTCTTTTACTACTTTCAGTTTTTTTCTTTCGGTTTACTTGTCGTTTGAAATAATCGGTTAAGTGCAAAGTAACCGTGCTAGACGTGCATTTGTTTTAGTGTTATTTTAAATTCCTTCTTTTTAAGAGACTCTGGAGAATTTAATTATTTTGTTTAGGCTTCTTCTTCATGTTATCAAATTTTCTGGTTTTCAGGAGCTGCATTTTAGACAATCAATCTGTGTTTGTTATAAGCAAAACTCTAACCTCAGCTAAAATTGAAAGGAACATTAGTATTTTATTGTGTAACCTTTGGCCATCCAATACCTACCTAGAACTATATGGGTTATTATTTCAGTACAGGAGTGTTTGAGTTTGCAGACCACAATGGTGAATTTGACTAAATCAGTAGCATTCGAACTCCTTTTTTATTTTGATCAGACAGACTGAATTCAACCCGAGTCTTCCTGATTTATTTGCATTGAATTGGTCACTTATTTTGTCCACAAATTTCTTTTGCGACAACTACGCTATTGAGGTCTCTCTAAAGGAATTTTAATTGTTTCAGTTTCTCTAGATCAAATATTTCTCTATAAAGCTTGGTTAAATCCTATTTCGTTTACTGTATTTCACTGATGTGGTAAGTCTTCTACACTAGAAAAGCTGAGAGGGGTAATGGAAGGAAACGGTATCTATATGGAGGACCAAAGGTCAGGAAAGGTCATTGGTGGAACTCCCGATGACTTGTATTCTACTTGTGTACGTCTAATAATCCCATTCGTTGTTGTCATTTTTGTTTTGTCTTGTTATTATTATCTGGAACTATTTTTGGTTTGTCATCAAGCCCTCTTCGAAATTAGTCTTATTTTCTCTCAATAAATTTCTTGTTTTTGTCTTCTGTTCTTAGTCGTATATAATGTGTTGACCCACAAAAAAGACATGCACAATAGTAATTGTTTTTTTTTTTGGGTATAATACGATCATTTTCACAGACATATAGCTGCTCAACCGAACATTTTGTATGAAGAAAGCAACGTTCCAGGCATTCATACATTACCTTCGATTTAATCGAGAAAGGAAAGAAAACATCTTTCAACGGGAAATGCATGAAGAAAGCAACATTTCTCAAGACACTGGCATTCTAAGCATAAAACAGAAACTTTTCAAAGGAAAATAGACCAACAATAACAGTGAGATAACAGTTGTAAATAGAATTAACTGTAAAAACTTGCATCCTAAACAGTTCGCAAAAATCAAACGAGAATTGTAGTAGAGAGTAGTATCAGTTCATGCTTTCAAAAAATTTTTCAACAAACCATTACCAACTATGTAACCTGTCAAATTCAACACTAACAAGAAATGTCACAACACTGTACAAAATATAAAACTAATAATTTATCAGAATAAATTTAGGCATTTCTTGAAACTGTACGTTGATCATCAGTTGGAGCTGGACGTTTACGATTTGGAGGAGTAAAATATGAACTCAACTGAGAAGGATCATTTCCGGATATCACATCATTTCCTAACATATCTCTATTGGTCCGTCGATTTGTATCATCGGATACCTAATAACATAAATGCAGTGACAATAAAAGAAATATTAGTGATTTAAATTTATATTTGTAAATAAATTAAAGACGTGAAGCGAGGAGAAAACACTGAATTGTAAAGGAAGAACTGAAAGTTTTCGGTTAAAACTATTTGAAAATAAAACAACGGTAATCATTCCCAAAGTATTTCACAGACAAATGACGTTTATCAAATTTCGCACTATAATCTGCTACAGAGAATAACATCAAGATTGTCTAATCGTTTATTGCAATGCATCTTTTGATAATTAGCATGCTCACCTTTAAACTTTCTTCTTAATCTATTCCATAATAGCATCCAAGTCGATGTTTAATGATGGCTTATGATTTATATAACATAACAATCCAACTGTCAAAGAGAATAGAATTATACCGTTTCAGTAGTTTGACTTTCGGCTGCTTGTTTCAATCGTTCAATTTCATGCTCCAACACATTATTTTCTTGTTCCAGTTTTTGATTTTCAGCTAAAATTTTCTCCAAATCAGCCTGCTTTGAGGTTATTAAATCGATTGATTTCTTCAGAACAGCAGCTCGTGAAGCCTAGAAATTTAACTGTTGATAAGCATACTTAATCATATCAATGATAACATCATCAAAATAAAACACTACATGACGAATGGATCACGAATAGAGTGCAAATTGTATATCATTACATAGCTAGCTGTTGTATAGCAATACTAATCGACATCTTCAAATATAAATGTCATTCTTATAATAAAAGATAAGTGCCGCAAATTTTTTCTAAAAAGATATGATAAAAAAGTGGAAAGAGAAGAAATATACTCTTTCATTCTGCATCCCAGGAATAGTATCCTTTAAAGCACCGTACATATCCTTGATATTATCACGACGACGTCGTTCTAAAGCATTATGCTGTGCACGAGCATGCCGCTTACTATCCACTGTAGATGCTGAATTTATTGCACTATCATCCTAAATCATTATAATCACATAAGTATTAAGCTTAAATATTATAGAAACCAATTACATCTAACTTTACTGAATGAAATATGTTTTTTTATGGATTTAGTAAAGAGTTCAAACTCAATATTAAATTTAATAATATCATAATTAGTAGCGGTTTATGAAGTTAAAACCAGTATTATAATATTACGATAAATTTTAACATATTCTGTAAATTCCTCATTTCAAAATTTTGAAATAATAAAGATGACACAATTATAATGCAATTCTTGATTAGTAAAAGAGATGAAGAATTATGAAGTTTACCTCTCCATCACTAAAATCGGCATCGCTCATATTTTCAACAACTGTTGCCCAGTCTAAACGATCAATCGATTATTTTGAATTGACCTGAAACAGTTACAATGAAAGTTAAATGACTTCTTAAGAGAAAATGAGTGCAATGTCATTAATCTAAAACATTTATTTTCATCAAGAAAACTTTAATATTCCAGTGTCCAAAGAAACCTAATTAACAAAGATTAATTAAGGCATAATGGAGACCTGAAAAACTCCAAATGGCAGCTAATTTAGCAAGTACGACAAATAATGTCCTATCAACGAAGAGCAAAATGTACAAAGAATTATTTAATTAACGATTTCATTAATTTAACATCAAATAGATCCTAATGCAGTAATAGACAAAATGAGACATGCTAGAAAGATAAATTATATTAAGAAGGAGTAAAAATAGAATTACCACCACCAACAATGACAACAACACCGATTCCCTTTCCAAAATTAAGAGTTAAATCATACATAGTGAGACGAAAATTTTCATGAGTCCACATGTTAAGTGTGAAAACGTGGTGGTAGCGTGGTAATGCTTTTTCCTTGGTTTTTTTTTGTTAACTTTTTACATGTGGACAGCATTTCAAGCGTACGTAATATTAACTAATAGATACTTTAACACCACCATACGTGATGTGCTATTTTTACACGCCAAATGTTATTGAAAGATATTACGCTTATAGCAAATAAACATTTTATTGTAGTGAAATATATATAATAATGAATAATTATTTTGATGTGTTACGTTTCAGGTACTATAATTTTTTTTTTTTGTGTGAATAGTTACTTTTGTTAATGTTTTAATTGTTTACAATTTGTAATCGCACAAATGGTCTTTCTTTCACTTATTTTGCTTTTTTCTACATGTGTGTGTATGTATTTTTTTAGGGATGGAAGAGTTGAATGAAGCAAATTACGATACACTTGAATGGCTTCCCCAAAATGCTCCTTATGTAGAAGTTGATCCGGAGAAGATAAAATTAATTAAAACTCCAACGGAATTTTACGAAAAATTACTGGTCGCGAATTTTGTTCTGGGAAATTGATGTTTTTGAACTTGTCACGAATTTACATCTCATTTGTGTTGAGGGAAAGATTCCGCATATCTGACATTTGAAGATAGAAAATTTTTTTTTGTATGCATTTATTTGCCAGATATATCGCATTGTATTTTAGTGCTTGATTCGAGAAGCGAAAGAAAGAATCATAATCTCAACCTTATACTTCGGTAACGGCAGTTATGAAAAAGCTTTGGTATTTTTTCTGCAGCTATTAAAGAATAATAACAGTTCAAAACTTGCAAAATGTTTGGCTTTGTCTTTAAGTCCCTAAACACTCTTGAAGTTGAGGTTTGTGAAGAAAATTGGTCCAGTCTTACATTTTGTAATGAAGACTTGTGGTGTTTTTGTAAGATGACGACGAGACATTAGCTGTAATTTTAGAAAGACAGTAATTAAATTTTTTGGACTCAAAAAAAGTATTTTGTATATTGTAGGTGGACGAATTGGAGAAAGCATTAGCTATCAATCCAAGTTTAAAAATGAATATCCTTGTGGATTGTCTGAGAGGTACACGTGGTACAACAGAAAACAATTCAGTCGTGTTATTAAAAAGGTATGGATGCATTGTGGTATTTATAGCGAGAAAGGAAAACGCATCTGAAGCATTAAAGAATTCTTTGCTATACTAAGGTATTCGTAGTGCAACACACTAAGAATATGAGTTCTCAAACATTTTAAGATAATAACTGTAGATATCTTTTTCTAATGCAACAAACGATTTGATTTTTTTTATCACTTTGCTATTCAATAGTTTATGTTAATTCAGCCCTTTCTTTATCGAAATTTTAAAAGACTGACACCTCGTGCATCAGTGTATTTATTCCATACACCATGTTTGCGTGGTTTGAAGAAAATGGTGCTTCCTGAAAAAGTGAATGAAGTGATCGGTTTGCAACATATGAAACTTTTGGTATTCGACAATCATATCATCTTTACCGGGTAAATTTGCATATATCTAGTCAAAACTGCTTTGATATTTGGGAGCGACCACGAAAATTCAATTGAGAAAAGAATAGGATGTTTTCAACAGCTAATGCGGGAATTGATTGTCATGTGTTAACGGTATCTGTTCTCTCATAAGTTTTCTGACTGATGTAAAATCAGGATAATGACTGGCTTAAAAGTTTGCGGATAAGTAAGAAACTAGTTCGGTTATACTGAAAGTTATGGGAAGGGATATCTTCCAACACGACAGCTTCTAACAATTTTTTAAAAAAAAGTTTTTGATTTTGTTCACTTTTGGTGATTTTTGGACACGTATTAAAAGGCAAACAAGGAAAGAAATGTTACGATTATTGCCACGAAAACTGAAATGAAAATAATATGTTAATTTTCAGGGCTAATCTTTCAGATATTTATTTCACAAATCGATTGGATAGATATATAGTTATTGAGAATTGTCCACAACTTGCAAATTTTATTGATTCATTGGTTGAAGCTGTTGGATCATGCTCATTCATGTTGAATACGCAAGGAACTACCAGTTTAGCGAAAAGATGCGATATTCATCCTTTTAAAGGTTTAATATTAATTTTAACATTATTCATATCCATTCATATCAAAATAAACTAATTTACTCATGAGCAGCAATATCACTAGTTTCTATGTCATTTACCAGCACAACTTTTATTTTAACCTATTAGGATATTTGAAGTAACCACTGAAATTTGGCTTTTTACCGAATGTAGCACAATAACTCAAACTGTACTTTCTAAACAGGTTAAAAATCCTGACTCTAATTTTGTTATATTTCTTAGTATCAGGGAGTAGTTTTCTTCTAAGAATTCTTATAACAATTGTTAAATTTGTTTTTTTTTTTTCTTTCTTTTTTCCTGTCAGTTTCAGTCGCTATTAAATTACTTTTTTATGCTTGATCCCAAATTTCATTGCGTATTTCAGGGAGCCATGAGGCATATAAGAGTATGATGTACGATCGAGTCATGTCAACGCTGAATGCATTTAGCAAAGAATGTGATTTGGGGAACCGTTTTTCTACTGGTACACGGATATATCCGTTGTTACAAATGGGCATCGTGTCGATCAATCAGGAATTCAAGTTTTTAAAAAAATTGTTATCCATTCAGGTTCGTAGATTCGATTTTTTGCATTTGTACCGAGTTTCTTTAGTTCCACTTTCTTTATTCAACCTGCCTTTAAAATACACAGTTTTGTAATTTTTCAGAATCATCAATTATCATTAACAATATCATCGGGCTATTTTAATTTCACTGACACTTACATTGATCTCATATCAAATCAAAATTGCTTCGAAATGGATGTCATTTATGCATCACCTCAAGTTAGAAATTATTTGACCAGTTTTATTAGCATTCACTTATTTATTTATACAAATAATTGAATTTAGGCAAATGGATTCTATCAAGCATCCGGTTTGTTTGGTTTCATTCCGCTGATGTACGTTCATATATCACATCTTTTCTATAAAATAATGGGTTCGACTATTCGAATGTTCGAATATAATAGACCAGGATGGACCTATCACGCAAAAGGTCTATGGATTGATTCCAAGCAGTCATCGCTTTCAGCTACTATAATTGGCTCATCCAATTTCGGTGTGTTTTTGATTTCAGAAGTTACGAAATTTAATTAGTTTTTAACAGTGAGTTTGACGGTTTGAGTTGACAGGTTATATTTGAAATTGCCACATTTTCTTTGATAAACAGTATTAACATCTATAAGAGGTATAAAAGAAGCTCAACTAATTAGCGCCTAATTTCTCAGCATATGTATAATCTTTTTTTTCGATTTTGATTGTTTCCTGAAACATTAGGTTGTGTTTCCACTTTATTCATTCTTTTTCTTTAATAAATGCAGAAGTTTTTGGCAGATTGTTATGGCGGAGTAGATTTTTGTAAGGGTTAGTGTGGTGCAGGAAATTACTTTGAACCTGATATTTTAATTTTGCTTATTTATAAGTCATTAGAAAACTTAACAGTTTTTAAATCTAGTTTTGGCAGCTTTCAAAAGATATTTTTTGTGTCAAAGGTTTATACAAATGTTTTGCATATAGCAAATATTTTCATGCAAATTTTGCAGGTCATCGATCTGTACATCGAGATCTCGAAGCGCAGTTCCTTATAACTACCTGTAGTGAGAAATTGAAAAGAGGTCTGCAGGAGGTAGGTTTTACTTGTGGTATTGATCAAGCAAATGATAAGAGCGGATTGTGTGTTAATTTGTTAAATGGTTGGCGACTTTGATAGTTCTGTTCTCGGATGTAAAGCCAGTATTTCTGTAACACTGAATTTTGATCTTCCTTTTTGTATGATTCAACAAAATTTTTCAAGGAGCGTTCGCGAATATTGGATTATACAACAAAAGTGGATGCTGCAACCTTCTTACAACGTGACCATTTCGTTCCATTCTGGATTCGTTTAATTTCCCGGTTTATTCGAAATTATTTCTGATGTCTGATTTATTTCTTGTCAACTTCTGTGTGTACAGCTACAAAGTTAGCTGAATGTTGATAGAAAAGAACCAGTGATTGCATTGATTATTAAAGTGCATTATTTGTTAAAATCTGTGTTAAGTAATGATTGTTGATGCTTTGAGTATCTCTTAATCCATTAAATGGATTTTTTAATTATTTTTCTTATGTTACCAGAATTATTTGTTGTAAAAATTATAAATGTTCTACTGTGTAATGCTTTGCTTCATTTCAATAATGATAATGTTTTTTACGACTGTAATATAATATCTTATTTTCAAAAAAAGACTTTTACTAGTAATAATTGCTCATTCTGTTGAATTAGCTCAAAAGCTGTCAAAAGGTAAGACTAAAACGAAAGCACTGCACACAAGTTTTCAAATAAAAAAATGTATCGTGCTTCAGAGCTAATGCAATTAATGTATATGTGGGCCGATTCATAGTTGACACATTCATCTATCGTCATTCTTCTCTAAGTACTTCTCTTTTAATCGTCTACTATTGCTTTTTCACTTTTCAAGTTTGATTTTCATGTGTAGTTTTCTTTAGCTTTTACATACATACTCATTAATTCCAGCAATATCGGTAAATTTATAAAAGATGAGTTATATAATCAGCGGTTAATTGAAATAATTACATAAATACTGCAGAAGAAATTGAGAGATTGTTGATGATATTATGATTATGCATATAGAAGTCAGAAGACGTAAGTATGCTAAACACTGGTTAAATAGCTTCAGAGGACTAATGTTTGTAAAGTAAACTTTATAAGAGATGGTTATAGTTTAAGTTGTAATTTTCATTTGTTATAGATATGGTATTACTACAAGGTTTAATATTTGGTCGTGCTTTAATGGAATTGTTAGCACGAAAGGGGCCAACGCCAACAGCAACTGCTATACGTCTTTCGCATCGAAATCGAGCGCAACGTAAAAATGGAATGCATTGTGGATTTAAACATACGGTAAATCCGTATGAACGTAAAGAATTACTGCAAAGGCTAGGGAGTTGTTCAGTTCGTCATTTGTCATCGGGGACAGCAGCAGCGTCATCACCGAAGTCGTTGAATGAGTTTCTTAAGGATGAAGTTTGGTAACTTTTTTTTTCTTCGATGTTTATTAAAGATTTCTTGACAGTTTGATTTTTTTTCTGTCATCCTAACCTTTTGCTGAAAACTGTTTTGTAGTTAATTTTTGAGAAAATGTGACAGCTTTCATACTGTGATATTTCACTTGGTTGGCATAATTATCATTATTATTTCTCTTATTATGTGGAAGTGTAATGATGATAAATCCAGTAATTTTTAACTGAATATAAATGGTTATTTAAACATCTTTTTTACTTAAGGATTCCAGTTTATCGTTTTCGAGGAATTCATTATTCTGTTATGGCTACGAAAGTGAAACTCGCGTTAACAATATCAAGTGTATCATTGATACCATATAAATACTGGCAGTATCTTGATGATACAGTATCCATTGACCATTTCATATCCATTTCGGCTTTCGCCTCATTCACAACATTAGCATTTATCTTCTTTTGCAGGTGTCTGTATTAATTAGTATATTTAAACTAAACTAAATAGGTAGGTTAAATAGGTAAATCCTCACTACTATGTAAGATCTGCTGAGAGAAACTGATGATTAGAACACACATTTATCTTAATTGAATAACTAGAGTCCTAACTATATACGTAGATGCGTAATAGTTATGTTTGTATTCCTAGCTGTCATTTATTCACAATCATCCTACCTTTATTAATGTTGTAAATTTCATAGCAGTGAGAATTTGCAGATTTTTCAATGGCTTAATAGGTGTGATTTCGATGAACGAAACAAATGAGTATATACGAGTCGGATATTTGTCATTTTGGGGGACGAGATGTAATAAATACATGAAAGTAGATGATGTAATACCGCTTAATGAATTAAGTACCGGCATCAACAACAAAGTTATCCGGCTTCGACAATATTCATCGTATGTGGACTTTATATTAAAATTAAAATTCGCTCATTTTGTTAAATATCCCATTTGACTTTGGGGGGTGATCTAAATCTAAGTGATTTTGAATTTAAGGATTCCTGTATCCAGCACAAAGTTATTTACTTCGTTAATACCATTTACGATTTCAGTACTTTCGGATTTTATCAAGTGAACTTGATAAAGAGAAGGACTTACTTACTGAATTATGAGCAACTAGAAGTAAGGGATTTGATATCTTCCCAAACTTCTTATTAAGATATCGCTTAATTGTGTTTTGTTCTGATTTTGTGTATTTATTGTTATTTCTTGAAGGAATGGAATGCTGCGTCTGTCACTGTTTAATGCGGAACTTTTAGACAAGGAACGAGCCACTATCTTGTTCGGTGATATTAATGTCTTTTCTTCTGCCAAAAAAACAGAATGAAACGGTTGGCAAATTTGATTACATCTAGTCAGTGAATTATTCAAAATAATTGACTTTTGTGATAAATTGATTACAATTACCTATGTTGAATATTTTGTATGTATGATATGTCTCTTTGTATTTGGACCCACTTCTACAAATAGTTTCAGGCTACGTGTTAACTCAGATCTCTATGTAAGATATTTGAAGTAGTTTTCATCGTGGACGTGATATTCTTGTATTTTGTTTGTACGTTTGGTAACATTACCTTTCATTATAAATAATTCTTCACTGTTTAAATGCCCCATTTATATCACAGTGCAAAAATGTTTAAGACTTCCTTAATTTTAATTCTTGTATTTGCGGAATTTGAGTTTTTTCTAAAATTAAGCTGGCAATAAGAAGGCTGTAAATAGCCATGCAAACGAATTTACAAAACTTTCATAATTTTTTATTGCAATAAGACTTTCGTGACATAAGCAGTAAATATATCAATAAAAAAAAAAAAAGATTGTTATACTGATTTAGATATATATGGTTATTTTCTTTTAGCATTATTTTTGCATCAAGTCATGTTACTTTTCTAGGAAAAAAAATGAAGTAAACGCAAAATTTTTTTTTTTTTTTCTAATAATATCCTATTACCATATCCTACTAATATTATTAATATTATCAGTTGGAAAATGATTTCTGTATGATGGAATATTACAATATGATCTTTTAATTGGTATATTATCGCAATTCATCGTACAATCGGCATACATTAAATCAGGATCTGTAAATTAAATCATGATTTAAAGAAATAAATGATGTTAATTACGATATATATATATATATCTTTGGATTAAAAAAATTTGTAGAAAAGGTGATATCATTTAAGATTTCTGCTATTAATGAAGTAATTTGAAATGCGACATTTCGTTAAATCCATCCAAAAATTGAAAATCCAAAAATTGAAGCATTTTAATTTCACAACAAAATTCAATCTTAATATTTTTAAATTTCAAAAAGTTATGTATATATACGAAGTTGGTTGTACTAATTAAATATTTATGGTTGTTTTTTTCTTTAGTATTATTTTGCATCCAATTCTGTTGCTTTTATAGAAAAAAGTTTATTTCAACGTAAAACCTTTTTTTTCTAATAATTTGAAATATACCTAACATATATATTAATGAATGCATTTTAATTAAATTGTTCTTTCCCCAAAAGTATCTTTCTCACCTGTATAACAACACTCACAACTTTCTTTATAAATTATCACTTACCAAATGTATGCTGAATTATTTGAGCTGATTCATTGTTATTATCATTGTTGTTATACAACCAATTACATTCATTTGTTACTCCTTCTGATAACATTTGTGAGTATGAAAAGAAATGATTTGTTGATATGCCATCATTCGTTGTTAATGCTTCTGATGCTTAAAAATTTAACTCTTTAATTATGTTAATTCATCTTTATTTACATCATTGTGCGATTATTTCAATTATTAAATTAATTATATTGTAAAGCTTTTGAGAGCACTTCACTTCCTAAGAAACAAAAAATAAGATGAATTAAAATATGTAGAGATGAAGAAATTTTTAATGTCAAAATAGCAGTATTTATTTTAACTTTACAACTTAATACAAAAAATTTCCTTTTTTTGACGATAAATAAATTATAATTATTTGGTATAACTTATAATCATAATGAAGAGAATGTAAAATTGGAATAATGACAAAATGTTTTTGTTTTATGTAAAAGTAATTTAACTATTTTAAAAATAAAATGACGATTTCAATTTATAGCTTAGCTAATTATCAATTAATTATCAATTAACTAATTAATATCAATTAAGGTATAAAATTCGAGCAGAATACACTAATTTCTTATCTTTTTCTGTCTTTTTCTCCTATAAAGAAAATGATTGTTAATAATCTATTTAATTACCGTTGTTTTCAATAAAAATTTTTTAATTTAAAGTAGTTATTTACTTACAAGTTGGTGAGTAACATGAGTCATTCCTTGCAGTGCTGTGTTTATTTCGGAGAATTCTAGAAATAGAACTCACAGATGGCAAATTATTCTTCTGGCATATTTTATTGCGTAATAGTTGTTCTCGAATTTCCCAGGCAAAGATTCGCGGTTGACGAAGTTTTAAAAAATTTATGTATTCAACTACCTAAAATAGTTATTTACTATTAAATAAATGTGCTAAATTTAAAATATATGTATAAAATAGCACTTAAAAAAAAGCTAAAACAAAAGTTTATGACATTAAAAAGTATCAAAAATTGAAAAAAAAGAAATAAAAATTTCAAGAATTAAAAAAAAAAAAAGAAGTTAGCAAAGCAAAAATTTTTGCCTCTTTTTTCTGTAAATTATTTGTTTATCAAAATTGTTTCTTTTTGAAAACAAAAATAAAATATTTAAAAGTGAACAATATATCAAATTATTCTTTGTTCTTTGCTCAGAAAGATCTTTACTTAAATTTATTAAATTTATTCAGTTACTCATTGATAATTTATTATTTTTGAAAATAAAATTAAAAAAAAAAAAGATTTGAACATACCGCAGGTGTTGTAACACGTGGTTTACTACCACCTACGGTACCTGGCATTACTGTACCATATTCTGCATAACGTGATAAAATTTTACTAATACAACCATGTGAAATTTTTAATTGTCGTGAAATGTCACACGGTCGATATCCATCTTTTGTTAATTCAATAATTTTGTAACGTAATCGAAGCGGAAGTGGACGTCCATTTATGAATTCACCGCCAAGTTGATTTATTTCAATGCTAGATGTCCCTTTAAAAAAAAAATTTTTTTCAATAATCAAAAATGAAAAAACAATCAACCACTTAAAGTTTTTAATGAATAATTATTTGCATAGGTTAATTAATCTCAAAAGTGGTAAAATTTCAGTAATTATTTGATATCCGAAAAGTACAGCGATAAACGAGGAAAAAATAATCAATTAAACTTATCAATGATTAATTATTTGCATTAATTAATTTTAAAAGAGATCAAATTTCAACAATTATTTGTTGTTAAAAAAAGAAAATTTATATAACAATGCAGAGTTATTCGTTATCAAAAAAACAAAAAATCAAGCAAAAAACTCAATCAGTTCACTAATAATTTATGTTTTCAGATATGAATGGATTATCATAAAAATAAATAAAATAGTGTAAGTATAATTAGAATATTATTTGATCAAAAATTCCAATACTAATTTAAAAAAATCCATTTATTATTTATTCAATTCAACTTCTATAATTGCAGTATTTTTTTTTATAATTAGAATATCATTTAACTAAAATATCATTTAGTTATAAAACTTTTAGAAAAAATTTTAAATGATAGATTAAATGATATTTTTTTGAAGGAGAAAAACAAAATGCTTTATTTATCATTCTTTTTTCTATTCAATTTTTCTTTATTTTTTGAAATTTTCTAAAATTTCTAATTTGAAATTGAAAATTTAAAAATTTTCAGCATTTACCTGTTGCTCTTGAAGTAATGGATGAAATTTTATTTTGAACTAATTCATGCACTTTTTCATTGGTACCATAATTTGGCATCATTTGTCTTCATTAACCTGAAATGAAATACCAAAATTAAGCTTCTTGTTGTTATTGCTATTATTGTTAATTTTGTTGTGGTTGTTATTATCGTTGTTGCTGTGTTGTTGTTATTGTTATTGTTGTCGTTATTATTAATAGTTTATAAGTTATCCCCGCCCATTGGTAGCTCTGTTATTCGTCAAATCTAAGTGAAATGATTGAAAGAATAGCTTAGAGAATCTTTTACCTTTTTTTTTTCTTTTTAAATCCTTAGGCAAATAAAATGGTTCAGTGATTTAGTTTAATTTCCAGTGCTTTGTTTAAATATGAACAAAGCCATTCCTTTTTCCTTCTTTCTTTTCTTATTTTCAATAAATAAATAAGTAAATAAATAAAATAAACAAGTAAATAAATAAAAAAAATCAATGTAATTTAAAAATTTTTTTCCAGTCAACAAGTAATACATTTCCTAGGCATTATGTGTTATATGTAGTGTAAGTAAAGTGTAAGTAAAAATTTTTTTTTGAAATATGATTGTTGAATACAATAAAATGGGAAAAATATATTGAGTAAATTGAAAAAAAAAACAACAATATTTACTTTTTTTAAATATTCAAAATTTAAAAAACTCAAGAATTTATAAAATATTTTTTAATTAATACATTACTTTATGGAATATGGTACAAATAATATTTGGACTTTTTCCTTTTCGTCTAATCCGAGTAAACGCTAAACAACATTAACTGACATTTGAACGATTTTAAAAATTTATGAAATTTTCTTTTTTGAGTTTTTAAATGACCAATACACATGTCATAATTATAAATATAAGCAAAATATGATAGTGTTATTATCTTTCTTTTAATTTTCTTTTTTTTTTTTTACTATAAATGAAAATTTTAAAATGAAAAATGTTTAAGCAAATTTCTTCAGCACAGTATATAAATGATTGCTACTTTAAATGGTTGACAGATGACAAAGTAGTTGGATTAAGCGGATAGGTCATCGGTATAAGGAAAGTTGACAGAGAAAGGGAGAGAGAGGGAGAGAGGGAGAGAGAGAGTTGAAGTTAACCAGATACTGTTAATTCTATCTTTCATCGATGCTATTTTCCCATAACCAAATATTTGCGGCAAAAATAAAAGCGCCAAAGAAATATTTACAAAGCGGAAAAGTGCGTACATTTAAGATAAAGTTAATAATGTATGGGAATTTTTTCATACAAAGTTTTTTTATTTCTTTTTTACGTTCTCATTTTTTAATTTTATTAATTAATTCAATTTATTATTATCTTTTTTAAACTTTCCAAATCAGTAATTATTTTATTTTCAAATTTATGGTTTTATTAATGGATTTATTATTTAATTGATGAATTTATTATTTCCATTTTTGAACTAATTGTTTTTTCCTAACTTATTATTATTATTTTCTTTTTGAAAAAAATTTTTTTTTATTTCGATTTATTCCGCTATTTTTCAGCTTTTCAAAATTATTAGTTGCTTTGCTTCACATATATCACTTTATTTGCACTTATATTTTTTACTTTTTTTTTTCAACTTCACCTATTTCATTTTAATATGCAGTATTTACTTTCGATTATCCTATCATATTCTAATTTTGTTAAAGGATTTTTCAAGTATTTAACACAAGAAAAAGGAAATTTTCGAATTGAAATTAATATTAATAAATTAAATTAACGTGGAAGATTTGATGAAATCAATTTTAACAAGTGAAACTATGTTAAAATTTAATGAAATTAATAATGAAAAATGAAATTAGAATTAAAATTTCATTGAATATTTGAGCTAATTTTATTTTTGTTTTTCAAATATTTTAATTCCAACAATTGGTAAAAGGAAGCGCACACACAAAAAAAGAAAAAATGAATGTAGCAATTAAATAATATATGAAAATATACAAATAAATAATGTTTTTTTTTTTCAAATGTGCGAGTATTTCTTCTTTCTTTTTCTGCATTTTCATATTTTATCCGAAAAAAAATCAACAATGTAACCTTATGTTAGATAAATTTAATGAAAGAAAACACACAGATATATGTAAATTAAATTATAAATATTAAAGCAATTATTAAATAAACAATTTTAATTTTTTTGGTTAAAAATGTGAAGTAACTAATCATTTTTTTCAAAAACATGTATATATTGTCGATTATTAAATAAATTTTAACAAATTCAATCCAATTTTTGCAAAAAAAAAATATTATTGAAATATTTTAGTAATTAAATTTGATTCATTTATGTTTCCTTCCCTATATGTTAACATTTTGATTTTTACGTAATTGAATCTATGTTTACATAAGCTTCGATACATAAGAAAGATTAGATGTTGCATAGGTTAGATTTAATTACAGAAGCATTCCGATTCTGATTTTAGTATCATTTTTGTTAATCGGTTTTTATCGTTTCCAATTTCAGAAAAAGAAAAAGGAGAAAAAAAAAACGGATTTAAGATAGCAGGAAAAATTCAACTTCAATCTTTAGCAAAATAGAAATTACAATAGTGGTAGTAAAATAAACTATTAGTGAACAACCGTTTTATTATATTAATTATAACAATGATTGATTATCGATTTATTATGGAAGTAAGAAATATAATTGTAAGGAATTACAATATGTTCTGATTAGCTGCAATCAATTAAGTATTTAAGTGATAATCAACAACTTTGTATTTCAATTTTTCATAATAACTTCTTATGATCAAATTTTATTTGCATTTTACTGGAATTTCTCAAATGTATTTATCATGAAATAAGAATTAAAAGTGAACATTAGTTTAATTAAATTCAAAAATAAAAACAAAATTTAAATAAGTGCACGATGATATGCTAATTGGATAATACAGTAATGACAACAATACATTGTGATTTTGGAGAAATAAAAAAAACAAATGACAGTAAAACTTTACATAAGCAAAATGAAATAATTACTGTAATTAATGATTTTAGAAAAATAATTCTAATAATCACAAATATTATGTTAATTTAAATGTTCTTCTAGAAAAACAAACCTTAATTTTGCTTTTTAATTACTTGCAAATAGCAAATGCAAAATAAAATTTTAGTAATAAAATGAACAAATTAATTGCAATAAAATTTCAAATTTTAGTTCAGAGTAGTTTTAAAATATTAATTATTGTGGTTTGAATATCTTATATTCTGCAAATTTCTACTTTTTTTTTTTTTATTTAATAAGTTTGTTTCAGAAAGAATCCCTAGAACAAATGTTCTTTTAGTATTACAAATTTTAATAGGATTATATACATAGGAATTAATGAAATATTTTCATTATCTACAAAGTTAAACTTTTAAAAAAAAATCAATTTTAACAAATTAATTTAATTGCAGAAAAGTTTAATTGTTAATCTACTTAATAATAGGCTTATTCTGCAGCAAATTTAAATTTGGATGTAATTTAGTAGGACCGTAGTGGTGACCCGCTTTGTTAATAAAGCAATAATAATAATAATAATAATAATTAATAGTAATAATAATAATAATAATAATTTTCATTTAAAAAAGAGTTGGAAAATGAAAAATATTCGTATTAAAAATAAATTCACCAGTGTATTTTATAAGTTTTTCAAATTATTCAAACTTATAAGTGCATATCAAAAATTTGCAGTTTAGATATAATTGCATATCATTTATAATTTTAGGCAATTATATATTTGAATTTCACTTTACTGCATGGATTTAATAAAACTTGTTTGAATAAATTTTTTTTTAAAAAAAAAAAAAAAAAACAGCAAAATATGGATTAAGTTGACAACATTGTGAATTTGCAAAATTATTATTTATTACTATTATCATTTATTAGCAAAATAAGTTAGAAATTTTCAAAAAATAGTTGGAAATTTACAAATACTTGATTTATTGTTAATCTATTCCAATATACTGATGAAATGTTATTATATTAATGGTAGAACGGTAGCTTTCCATTTTTTTACCAGCAAATTTTTTAAACATAAAATTTGAATCTGAGCTAAATTTCACATATTAAGCTTAATTATTGATCATCAAACGATTTCCAATATATTTCCTTTATTGACTGATTGTAAATTTTTGTTGCAGAAAATAAATTCAACCGAAGTGAGAATTTTCAACGCTAAATTAAAATTTGATCCTAATAATGCGAGAGAAAATTAAAACACTATCAAAACTAATAACTTCTTTTAATTTATTTGAAATTTGTTATTTTTCATTAAGTCTGCAAATTATTCAAAAAATTTATTCAAAGTATAATTTATAATGCAAAAGTTGAATTTGTAAAGGATTCAATTTCAGTTAAAGTAATGTGATAAGTTACTCTTTGTTTGATAATTTCTCATATCATTGTTCGATGATAATGGAAACAATGTTGGAAATGAATTTCTCGTAATTTCTGAGAAAAAGAAAAATCAATTTCGGATACAAAAAAAAAAAAAAAAAAATTGAAAAATGTTGTCGAATAAATCAATAACAAATTTCCTTTTTTCTTTAAATTGAAATTTATACAACTTGATTTTTCTTAATTCAGATGAAATTAATTAATCATACTCAACGATTTTTTTTTTTCTTTCAGTTTCTGCTAGCAGTGACACTTTTCGATTAGATATAAAAATTGGTGACATTTTGTTAACAGTCATTTCATTCCTACTTGCTGTATTACAAACGTTGTAATAAAGTCTGCTGTTTTCTGTCATTAACATTGATTTTTACTTAAAATTATCAATATTTTAATAGTATTATCTAAAAATATAATACTACATTTTACTTACGTGGAAATGAAATATACTAATAATATTGTAATCTAAGAATTATGACTGATTGCCATTTGGAAAATTATTGTCGTTAATTTAAATATGGTATATCTTGCCATTTCTGTTATTAATTTCCATTACAGATATATACGACAAGTATTTCAGTTTTAAAAAAAGTAAATATTATAATTTTAAACATAAATGTTTTCATTGCAAATGTCATATGACAATTTGTCAAATGCATTAATTTAGAAAATGGTATAAAAATGAATGGAAAATAATAAAAATACTTTAATTTAAAATCATTGATTTGAGTACAATTTCTTTTCATATTATTCGATATAACAAAGTCAATAAATGGAAACTTTAACAGTAATTTTAATATATCACATAATTTATTAATTGCATTTTTCAGGACGAAAAATTTTAAAATTACGCATTAAACAAATTTAGTAAAATATCAATATATAAAATGATTGATGATGATTTGTTAGATATTTTAAATTATTTTGAAATTGACCAAAGGATGGGTTTTCTACTTCCAAATCCATTAACAAAACTTCCGGAAGAATTTAATTTATGGCATCAAATTACCGGTAATTCATTTGATTTTTAAGTATATTTTAGATATATGTACAATGTATTTTAACTTTGCCATCAGAATTTGTCATTAACAATTAAATTTCCGATAAATGCATTTATTAATTTTAAATTGTAATGTTTGTAAATTCGTTTAATTAAAAAAGAATTATAAATGAATGATAAAAAAAAAAAATTTTTTTTAAGAAAATTTTTTAGATGAAATTCAAGAATTAATAGAAAAAAATATGTTGGAAGAACGTTTACAACAACTTCCATTGCTAACAACGCATAAGCTTAGCACAAATAATGAATTACGCTTGGCTCATCTTCTATTAGTAACATTAGCAGCTGGCCATGTTTGGCAAGATGGACCTGATAAGGTGATCACTGATAAGCTTTGTTTATCAGAAACATTTATCACTTTGGAAATGCTCAAATATTATTAGTGGAACAATTTTATATATCAAATATATTTATGTAAAAAAGATGAAAAAAAAAAAACGAATACTCTAATTATTGCCAAATTATTTGAAAAAATTTCATAAATAAAAAATTTTTTTTTTCTTTTTCAATTTTTTTTTTCAAAATTTTATTATTAAAAAGATTAAAAAACTTTTTTTTTGTGTGTTTTTCAGGCTCGATTAACAATTCCAGCAAATATTTCAGTGCCTTTATTTGATGTATGTAAACGTTTAGACTTAAAGCCAATTGTCTGCCATGCATCAGTTTGCTTAGCTAATTGGAAGCCAATAAAAGAGACAACAATTTTTAATGCATCAGTAATTGATATTATCACATTTCGTTTCACTCAACATCCTGCTAATCGATGGTTCTTTACACTTACTGCTCAGGTTAGGTAAAGTTGGAGATTAATTACTTTTTAATTAATATGAATTTTACTTTTTCCATTTTTTTTCTTTTTTTTTTTTTGTTGAGTGACATGAGAATTTTGATAAATTAATATTAATTAGCTTATTGATTGATTGAATTTTTGAAGCACATTTAAATTATTCAAAATTATAGCAAATTAAATTATATTGTAATTTTGGCTATTGTAATTTTTACTTGCGAATTAAAACATATATTTGTTGTATTTGACAATTAAAAAAAAAAAAAAAGTTTTAATTACATCATTTTGTTACAAATTTTATTATATTATCATATCAGTCTTTTTACCATTACACAGATAGAAGCTGAATTGGCTGAAGCAATATGTGCAATTGCAAGTGCATGCTTGCATGGCAAAATTGAGCAATCAACAATGCAGCATATTTGTAATGCAGTGACAAAGGTGACAAGCACTATTCAGGTTTGATGTTATAACGTAATTAATGAATTAAATGAGATTTGCTGATTAGAAAGGTTTGATTTTTGCAAGCTTAAAATGGATCAAATGAGAATTTCAACAAATTAAATTCAATTAGCCAATTGATCGGTTAAATTTTTGAAGTCTTATTTGAAGTAATCGAAACCATATCTAATTAGATTATACTTTGATATTTAAATTTTAATTACTCATAAATGTAATTAAATATCAAAAGCGAATATTTTGGCGTATGATAATGAAAAAAAGCAATGAGCCAATTCTGAAAAAAAAAAAGAAAAAGCTTCCTTTTTTTTATTTTTGTTAATTTCGTTCAATAAATTCTTGAAATAAATTTTGCACAGCGTATGGAAGAATACGTTCCACCAAATATTTTCTACAATAATTTGCGTTATTTTCTATCTGGTTATACTCAAAATGCATTAGCAGAACAGGGTGGTATTATATTTGAGGGTAAATAATTATTCATTTTTATTTATTTATTTTTTTGCTTTATAGTTTATATTAATTTTAATTAGCATATAGCTTAAATCAAATCCAAATTAGCTAATTTACATTTTCTACACTATCAAACTTTTAATTTCATTGTAGCAAATTTAATTGTTGAAATTAGTTAAAAAAATAAAAATTATTTTCAATAATGATAAAAGAATCTGTAAATTTAGGAAAAGAAAATTTGGGACCACAACCACTTCATGGAGGTTCAGCAGCACAAAGTTCAACATTTCATGTTATTGATGCATTTCTTGGAATTAAGCATGCAGATGATGTAGAAGCATTTTTAGCACAACATCGTGAATATATGCCACCAAAACATCGTCAATTTATTGGATGGGTTCGAGAAAATGCTGCTAAAATTTCAAATCTACGAAATGCATTTGGTTATCAGCAAGCACTCTGTGCTGTAAAGAAATTTCGAGAAGTACATATAAGTGTGGTAAGTTAAGTTGAAATAGTTGAAAAGAAAAAAAGAGAAAAGGATCGTATTATTAATTAATTAATTAATTAATTATATATTTTATAGGTAACAAAATTTATCATTTTACCAGCAAAAGGAAATTCGAAAATAGGCACTGGTGGTTCATCATTTATGCATTTATTACATAATATTGCAAATGATTGTAATTTATGATTAATAGTACAAATGATTTCATTAAAATTATATCAGTTAAGCATTATAATTTATCACATTAGCATTAATTAATGAATTATTCCAGTGCTATTGAAATTATTTAATTTATTTTAGCAAAATCATAAACAAATGTCAATTGTAATTAGCTAAGCAATTAATAAAATATGTCTCGTTGTATTAGTGGTGTGAATAATAAAGTAATATTTTAAAATTAATATTTCGAATAAATTTTTTTTTCCTTTACTTCTACTGCTACTATCGTATAACAATAGCCTAAATTAGACGATGTAATAACAATGATTGAATTTGTTTCTGAAGTAATCAAATAAAATATATTTCAATAGAAAATATTATAATTAAGTTCAACTTTTTTAAAAACAGTAATTTATAATGAAGTGATTTGATGATTAGCATTATCTGGTACTATGAGAATAACACATATAATAATCATATTTTATCAGCTATTTCACATTCCATAAATTGAACATAACAAAATTTCATTATATAATTGTAATAGTTAAAATTTAAATTCAACAATCAAAAATTGGCAAAAAAAAAAAAAAAAAAAAAAAAAAAAAAAACAAATAAAAATAGAAATGAGAAGTGTAAAAGATTGTGTGCAAATAAAAGAATAAAATGCATTGAATATACAAGTAATACTTTTTATTTCATTGGAATAATTCATCAGACTCACCAAGTATATCCACAAAACGGCGATTTATAGCACCCTTATAAACATTTTGATTCCTATATGAAATGACAACTGTTATAGACATTTGTAAAATTTCCTATTATACAATTAAAATATTTAAAAATAATAAAGCAATGTCAAATTCAGATATTTAATTCTATAATTAGTAAATTTTTACATTTAATTTTTTTTTTTTTGTTTCTGTTTAAATTATAAAATAAAATTTTGGAAAATTAAAAGTGAAGATGAAAAAAAAAAATAAAATGAAATAATTACTCATTACGATAAATTGCTCCAATAATCATTGTTATTTCGAATAATACAGCTAACCAAAGTAATACTGTTACCCATGCCACACTTTCATATCCTTAAAAAAAAAAAAAAAAAAACTAAGTGCACATCAGAAATTTGCCGAAAATAGAAAAATTTTGAAAATAATTAAAAAAATTTGAAATTAATAACAATCAATTGAAAATTTCAAACAATTTCATTTAGTTAAACTTCTTTTTCAGACTTAAAAATAAAAATAGTTTTAGCTGATGTATCACAGATTTGTCATTCATTCTTGTGCTGCATTTTGTCACACAAACAATTCTGAATTTTTATATTCAAAAAAAAAAAAAAATGGAAAAATCTTCATACTAAATCTAACATATTTAATTGTATCCTTTACAAACTATTAATTTCGATTTCAACTTACTTTCATTGCATTTATATCCTTTTGAGAGATGTTTACATAAACAGGTCACTCGTTCAATTGGTGTATTCGAATCAATCATTTTGCATTGGCCATTATTTTGGCATGTCTTAGGAAGACATCGTTTTAAAACTACAAAACAATCATTATTTGCAAAATATTTTATCAAATAATCATTATTTATTTATATAAAATATTACAATCATTCAAATAAGCTTAAAAAAGAAACCAGAAAAAACCAAAATGAAACTTTGAAATAATACATAAGAATTTTATCTTATCATATTAATATTAAAAGCATATATCATATATTCCATCACATTTTTTTTTTTTAAAAAAAATTGGTAATCTTACTTATGCGATAACAATATGAGGTCAAATTTTTGGAACATTTGATTATTTGATTATGTTTTGGATGATAAACATAAAGATTTCTACCATTTGGTATATATCCATAACTGAAATCTGATCATTTTCAGAAATTTTCATTGAATCATTTTCAGAAATTTTCATTGAATCTCATATCACTGTTAATTTTCAGTAAGTAACAAGAAATTGATTCTAGCATATTATTGCCGGATTAGTGCTAAAAGAAAAACTATAATTTTATGTAAGGTATAGCAATAAGATATTTGGTTAGTCTAAAATCGATTGAAAATAAATGGACAAAATCAATTTAGAAAAAATCACAATTTAAAAAATTACGGAATTAACAAATGTCAGTTATTTCTAATACATTACAAGTATGATTTCTAATGCAAGATAATATTTTAATGTGTAAATTGTTTCGATATTAATTATATTACATATATGAAATTGAGTATAATTAACATCATTTAAGTGACACTTTAATACTAACAAAAATGTCAGTCAATCATATAATTTTGTCATTTTTTGATTTTATTTTTATTTATCTTTCTTTTTTTCTTCTCTTCCTTTCCCCCTTTTTTAAAATAAAGAAAGAAGTAATGTGAAAAAAAAAAATATATATATATAGAAAGAAATTTAAATGTAATCAAAGTTCTACAAAAAAAAAAAAGATCTTTCAAATTAAAAAAAAAAAAAAAAAAAAAAAAAAACATTTTGCGGTATCTTGAATCTGTAGTATTTATTACGTTTTCACCAATGTACCATTTCAACGGATCAGAAATTGCACATTGAACGGTATTTGGTATACCTTTATCCCATATTAATGATTGACAGTGTGATATTTTAGATGCAAAATAAGTTGACGAACTATAATGAAATATTTTAAATGAGAACTGAACATTTCTTTAAAGTATTTTGAGATAAAACTGTGACTGATAGATTTTAGTACGAAAGATACTAACATATATGAAATTAACAGTAATATTATCATAGGAAAATGTTAGCTAGATGAATCATACTTGGCAGTACTTTTATTGTATTAGCAAATTTTGTATTCTGAATACTTTCTGACAATTTATGATTTTATGTTGAAAGAAAGAAAAATAAAAAATTTTCAAGAACTAAAAAAAAAATTATTTTCTTGGTACCTTCCAATTTTCTAAATTGGAAAGTGATTACAGTCTCAACACCAAAAAAAGTCAATATTTTCAAGTGATACCATAAAATTAAACATGTCAATTGTTTAATAATGGATGATAATATCATTCTTTCGGACAACCGGTCGGTGTAATTCCGGAAACACGGAATAACACATCAAATTGTATTCTTTATTGTCTTACAATGAAAAGTTATCATCATTTGCTCTTTATTAAACAATCTCACATGGTTCTATTGTTCTCACTTGTATTTTTAAATATGAAAGCAGCCAATTCTCCATGAAATCACCGCCATTCTTCTTAAAATCACTACCACTCTTTCATGCAATCACCGCCGTCCTTCTGTGAAATCACTGCCATCCCTGTATTTGAGATTTCAAATTGCACAAAGCGTAGCACAGTTGTAGACACTGTAAGAGCGAGAATATATTGAGACAATGGATGAGAGCAGAGATGATGAGTTATCAAAAGAGAATATTGGTGGATTGAATTATGAATTGGTAAATTCGAAATAATATCCGGCTTGAGAACGAGAGAAATACAGGAAATAGTGTTTTTGGGCATTGGCTATAGTGATTAAAAATGAAGAAATAACGCACAAAAATCGAGATTAGAATGTTATAGTAACTGAGAGTAAAAGAAGGAAGAGTATTGTTTGTGGGGAGAGTATTACTGATTATAGAGCAAGATATGTCTCTGTTGAAGATTTACTAACAGTGTTAAGAATTTTAGTGGTGATAAGAGTCTTCTAATATCATCAAGTTATCAGAGATGACTTATCCGAAAGTATTTCTATGCTATCTTTTCACTTCCGTTTTTTCTAATTAATCAATTGTAAGAGTCAATTCAAATTATAATATTTGGGGCGAAATTTACAGAAGTGATAGGGAGGAGATATCAGTGCATTAAAATATCACACAGATGATTTCAACAACAAAATCATCTAAGCAGTTCGTTTCATCAGTTGCCATGATGGAACGTCGGAAACGTGAAAAGGAACGAAATAAATGTTAGTTTCAATGCTTTGAATTATTTGACCTCGGAAAGTTTCACTTAATTTTTTTCTTCAAGAAAATAAAAAATATAAGTGAGAAGTTAGCTGCTATAGTGTCGATGAAGAGAAAGTTACCATCAGATGCAAAGTTGCGTTTTGGCAAAGAATTTTTTGCAAAATTATGTGAACTGTTTCAAAGTGCTGAAGAGGATTCTTGTGATCGATTACGTCAGATGCATGATGAGGTAATAAATTCTCATACCTTCATAATATTGTTTAGATAAACGAAAAATTATATCATCGCAAAATTAATTTAATGTTAGAACTAGCAAATCAATTGTAATTCTGTGTTTTTGAAACTGTCTTTGATTTAAGAAAACTAGAGTTTGTTTTTTAATTTTTGACCTATTTAGTTAAAATCTTTTTTCTTATGAGCATTCCTTCAAGATGCTCATTAAGGCGTTATAAGAGGAATCATTTATGCTGAGTTCGTGTGAACTTCGTTGCTTCACTAGATTTTTGTTATTTACAGTTAGCGGCTTATTATCAAGAACATGATTTGAATGTTATGTGGCTATCGGATGATGAAGCTGATAGTAAGGAACTTAAAGCACCATTATCCAAGAAAACTCATCAGGATGTTAATAAAGGTAATTTAGTCTTTTAATTTCAAACAGTTTTTTAAATTTCTTTTATCAATCCGCAATCATGACATTGGTTGCTTTTTTTTTTTTGTTTTGTTTTCAATTTTGAACTCTATCATATGTTCACTTATGTTCCTCATTCTATTAACGATTTATCGCTACGATTGATGATTAGTACGATTTTCATTTTCGCGGCTTGGACTATTAAGCCATGTTGGATTAGGCTGTATAAAATGTATGTCGTGAAAAGCATTTCAATTTTTTTCTAAATATATTGCGTGCTAAAAGAAGGTTCTTGTAGGCGATATGCGTTCAATAAATATTCCGCGATCGAAGTTAGAAGCTAAGGAGAAACTGAAACTAAAGTCGAATACTAAAAATGTTAGTGGATTTATTGTTGCTAGTTTAAGTTTGCCATATTTTTTTCTGTAAAAACTTTTGTTTTGCTTTCCTACGTTTAAGATTTTCTGTAAAAATTCCTAATGCTTCCAGTCAGTGGTAAATAGTTCACCAATTCCATCATCATTGTTATTATCTCAGTTTGAATTAAGCGATGATTCTGATGACAATACTTCACGAAAATTTTCTGGGTCTCAGAACAAAAATTGTAAAGTAAGTTCATTGAAATTATTAACGGTTGACCAACGATTTCAATCTTATTCAATAATGAATAATATAATATTTGACAGTAACTTTTAATAGCACACTAGTATACATCAATCTCCTTTATTACTCATTCCTTATTATTCGAGTAGTGTTCTTAATCGTAATAATTATCATACGAAGTTCTATAATTCATCTTTCCATAATCTGATTGTTTTTACAGGTTTGTTATGCATGTAGTGGTACAACGAGTTTGCCAAGTAATACGATCTTGGACTGTGAAGAATGTGGCAAAACTGTTCACCAAAAATGCGCTCGTCCTGAAATTACAGCTTTACAGGCCAAAGATCCACGTTTCTTATTCGTTTGTAATGATTGCAAAGACCGCGATGTATGATTTTATATTTAAATCATCGTACTGCGCTCTGATTTAAGTTTGGATACGCACTGACAGTCCATTTGTTTCATCATAATGCCAACTATCTTGCATTATCGCATTCTCACTAATCTTTTATTCATTATTCATGTTTACATACTGCAATATATTAATAATTGTATTTTGAAAGACAAGATTTTACTTGCTTTTTTTTTATTGCTATCTCTTGCAGGACGAGAAAATGGGGTCAAGTTGTTCGAAGTCAGTTACTAATTTTAGAAAAGTGATTTTTTTTTTCATTCCAATTTTTGGATAAACTAAAGAAAACCATTTGCAGGATGTTAGATTTTAATTTGTTAAGTACTTCCTGGATAGAGTACGAGAATGATCCTTGTGCTAGCGTTATATATAAGATACTTAATACAAGCAATAAAGTTAACACAGGTCATTTTCTCATGAATTTGTTGACTGCAGGATGATAAAGGAAGCATGCGAAAGTCTTCAGAGGAAAGAATTCAGCCGCTCAAACCGGAAAACGATATCTTAGTAACATTCTCGAACTTCGCTGCTAAGAAAGGTAATCTTGTAATATTGCAGAAATCTTTTTCATTTATTTTTGCTTTTGTACTTATTTTCTGCATTAATATTATTTTATTTTATTAGTGCTGTGATATTTGTTTGGGTTTAATGTGGAATTTAATTTCAGTTGGATTCTAAAAGTCAAAATTTATGGGAAAAGTTTTTTCCCATCCATTCATGTCGCTTATGAAAAATGTCTTTTGTTTAAAATGTCTGAGAATTATTTCAGCAAAGAAATCCGCATCGTCAGGAACTAGTGGTAGTTCGAATCTGCAAGTTAGTGGCGTAACAATAAATAAAGTACTTCCTTCCTTTAGTGTTAAAGATCGGAAATAATTCTTATCCATATTCTTAATTATTTATTAGTGTTGTGATATTTGTTTGGATTTTAAGAGAGAGTGGAATTCTATGTACTCATCTTTACTCCTACCTTTAGTTTAGATGTTATTGTTCTTGTAGATAATACAGCATTTTACGAAGTGATTATTTTGTATAGCATGACTCACGTGAAAACGTTTTGTAAATCACACCATGCAAGAAGTGGAATAAACTCAATAATTTTGATGTGCAAATAAGGATAAGGATTCGATTGTCTTCGACATGAAATTAATTTATCAAATGAATAAAAAATATGTATTCAAGAAAAGATAACTTATACAGCAGAGCAACTAGTTCGAAAAGGTTTCAACTGCAATCTTGAATTGTTTGCTTCAAAATCTATTTTTGCGATGAAATCTCAAGAGACTTCGAAGGCATTAAAATTAATACGCCTCATACTATTCCATATCCAATTTAATGACAATTATTTAGTTTTATAGCAAATTGGAAATATAACTTCTTGAAAACTATAAAATCTATACAAAGTTTTCGTTCATGGGATTGTTATATACGTGTTCGTGTGTTAGATAATTCAATACACGAATATTTTTCATATTCATTTCAGACATGTGCACACAAATGCAAAACGCGAACGTGTGCGTGAACTAAAAGGCACGGGCACGTACATATGATGCAGAAGGTAAATGTGCACACACGTTAAATAAGGGCAATATGCATACGACAAAGCAAAAAACACACGTAAACATGTATAGACGTAAATACGAGGACGTACGCGTGCGCATACATACAATTATGCATAAAACACTGCGCACATAGAAACATAAAAACATAAATGCACGTGAACGTTAAGGACGCACATTGCACACATCTACACGTACACACAAAATATTCATATAAAAAACACGTATGCACGGGCAAGTACGAGTGTGAAATAGTGTATGTGCGTGTGCATATGTGACGCAGATGCACAGACGCAAGAGGTGTGTGTCAACACAAAAAGTATACATATGCGTGTGTTTATGTAATCACAGGTAGGTACACGTGCGCACATACACATCTAAGTGTGAAACGCTTAGAAATGTAGAAAACGTATATAACGGGTGCGGCACGCACATGCATACGACCAAGACGCATGCGCAAACGTGGACGTACAGTGAACGCTAAAACGTACACACAGACGTTAAAAACGCAGAAATATACGGAGGCAAAACGTACACATTTAGACTCATGCAGGCAGATACACTGAGAACACACTATTATGCACGTGTACACGTAGCATTTGCCTATGATTCTCTAAAGTATCTGCTTCTTCCCTTGCTCTAGCCTCTGAATCAATACGCTTTATAACAACTTTTCATGTTGGCATTTAAATGCTATCTGTGCAATCCTAATCTCAAAGATACCATCTAATAGAATGCTAAGCGGTCTCAGTGATTGGTTTGGTATTAAGTTGACGTGGAAGACTGTTACAGAGGGTTTCTAGACATATATTTTGCTCGAGAGAAGTAAGAGATTGATCCTAATGTTTTGTAATTGGCTAAGTAATTTAAATTTTAGGTAAGAGTAAACAATTTAACTATTTAATTTATAAACTTTTTTTCAGTTGCTTTTTCTTTTTGCTAACGAAAGCTAAATAATCAGGCAATTAAAAAGTTCAGTAAATAAATTTACTAAAGCGTCAACAAAATACTTTTTTGCCACGTATAATGATGAGCAAGTATGCGAGTTACGTAATATTTAATTTTGTTTATAAATACGTTATCCATAAGAGCGTGTGTTGTTTGATACTTATTACTGTTTGTTTTGTTACTCTTTAATTTCAATTTCTTTTTTTCAAGGATTTATTGATTGAATAAGTACGCAATGAAATTAAATATTTCGTGTGCAACTAAAGTTTATCCTATAGAGGTTGACGTTGAAGAACTTTCAAATAACGTGGCTGAAAGTGAAGCTACTTGTAAGTGAAAAAATTTTTTTCTTTGTCAGTCAATATGTTTGTTACAAATTTGTGAGTATTTTTGGAAATATTAATTTTTGATGGAATATTTTGATGTCATGGTTATCCGTATCTTTAGTGTTATATGAATTGTAATCTGCAATCGAAATTATATAAGAAAAAATAATTTTGAAAAAATAACACCAAGAATACATCAAATCATTCGTTTAACAAGCTTTTTCGGAGTGCTTAAGTTATTTTTCTATATCTAATCTAAAATTATATTCCTAGTCGTATTGTGTTACTTAAGTATTAGACAGTTTAAAGAGTGGAAATTACAACGTATTTGCGATTTTTTTTTTCTTGATCTTGAGGATATACAGTGATAGAATAAGGTCTAATAAGTTATTATGAATGTTAGTTTTTGCAATAAAGTCAATTATTATGAATCTACTGATGAAATAATAATAAATACGAGAATCTTTTGACAGGTCCAACTTTTTTTCTTTTTTTTTAACCTGGTAAAACCTCACTGCTAAATAGTTTTTCAATTTTTGTAGCAGCTCAAGAGGATAGCACTATTAGCACGAGTACAGTAGATGCAGGAAAGATCTCAACGTTTGGATCACTCAAACAGCAAATTTGTTCATTGTGCAATATTAGTCCAACTGCTTTAAAAATCGTTCACAGAGGTATGATAATCTTTTTGAGAAGTCAAAAAATAATTCTTACTTCTAAATCTTTTTGTCATCGGTATTATGGAATATAGTGATGAAAATATTATCAATGAAATCAATCAATTAATCATGCAGTAGTGTTTAAATTAGGATGTCAGGGAAGGAATTACGTAATGCAGAAATTCTTATATTTAGGACGCATTTTGATGGGTGATAATTCCACTCCACTGTCATCTTTTAATTTTAAAGAAAATGATAAATTGTTGATTCTTGGCAAACCACCGGCAACGGCAACAGATATTGGATGGAAGGTTGTTATATATAAAATAGCTTTTATTCCACTACAGCATTAGCAATATAGGTAACTAATTATTAGAAATGGCACACTTGGTGTTAAAGTATATTTCGTTAGGCTTTTCTTGCAAATTAAATTGAACTTTTTTAAGTTGTTAGGAAAAAATTTCTCTGTCTTTTGTTGTACGGTGATGTAATATAGAAATCAAAACCCATCAGGACAACAATTTTATTAAGTTCAGAACTGCTTAAACTTACCTATTTTTAAAGCTTTTGGTTGATTTTGAGCGGAAGCATGCTATGGATATATCTAAAACGTATGCAAGGAACGAAAATGATCTGACCCAGTTGGAGAAGAACTTCTTAAAAGGTTTTGTGACTTGCTTGCTTGTGTAATCATTTAATAATTTTCATCAAATAACAACTCACAGTTCAGTGTATTTCATAACTCTGTTATCGATTTAATTTTGATATCAATTAACTTTTAGTTTAGCTTGGATAATACTTAATCTACTGTTTAACTATGTTTTACCACTCTACTCATATAAGAAGGGCCGTTTTTTCCTGAGTGAATGAAATAAATATTGACATTTCTGGTTAAGACAAAAAGATTAATATATCACATTCTGTCTGAAAATCAAGTACTACAGATCCTGAGAGGCGAGGATACATCAAGGGAATGGATAAACGCCTGAAAGGATACACTGAAAATTGTATGAAACTCTTAGAAACACTTGACAGTTTGCAGATCAATAATGATAATACCGACGAAGAACAAGTAACTTTTTTTATTTTCATGAAAACTTTGGAGCTTATAGAAATAAAATATTTAAAATGTGCATATTGTATTGCAAAACATCCAATGAAAATATTCACAATTAATAAAAAATAATAAAATAATAACAAGCTAATATGCCTGCAAATATACTATATATGAAGAAAATATTGGCGATTAATACCAGAATTATCAATACTGTCGAGAAATTTTCGTGTTCTTAGCTCATTAATCATAAGTATCCCACTAATTACTTCCTTCTATCTACTGCATATGTTTTATCATGTTTTTTTTTTTTTTTTTTCTGACTAAATATGCATAATTTTTGAATATTTGTGATTGAGAATTTAAAGGTTCAACGAAATCGTGAGAAGCGAAAATTTCTGGTGGATGGATTGCAAGATGCACTGAATAAGAATGATAAACTGGTGGCACGGCTAACTGATTATTTAAATCGATGCGAACATCCCGAAGATGCTTTATAGTGGATGTAAAATCATTCCAATTAAAATATTTTTATTACGAAATAATTTAGTTTTTGAAACATGCATTGCCTAGCGTTTTAATTTATCGTTTCTTGTGAAGAATCCAAAACATTATCATGTCAAGATTGGACTCTCTGCTAACTTTTGCTAGTTTTTTGTAATTTTATTTCTGCTAGATACTTATATTTGACATATCAGACAAGAATTGACATTTCATCAGAAAATGTGTTACAGAATATGTTTGCAAGTTTTCCATTCTTCCATATTTTCAGTTTGTCATTTAATACCGTTCATCAGTGATCGGCATGTAACAATAAATCATCAAATTTAAAATTACTTCATCGTTCTTTTGTTCTTACTCATCCTTTATTCTATTCTGTGGAAGAATTTCTAACATTTATTCAGCTGTCGCATCAGCATAGTAATATTATTTGATAGTCATTCTCTGTTCAGACGTCATTCATTTGTATCTATCTTGTATTATGTATCTTTTACTTTTCAATTTTTAGATTATAAAATTTTCTATTGTCTTCATTAATGATGTCAGTAATCCTTAACTTGTCCAATTTTGTAATCATTTAATCATGACTTTATTAAATTTCGAGCTTTAATTTTCAACTTCGTTTCGCATTATTGGTTATTCATGCCTTTAGACAGTACATATATTATTTGCCGTCATTCGACCATATTTAAAAATTTTGGAATACCGTACCCATAATAAGAATGTTATGAACGATCAGCATTGAGGTACGCTCTGGACAACGCCGTTATTGGGATCCCGTAAATTGATGTGAGTTTCATTGCGCTCCCATTGTGTCGTTGCATGATAATTGTGCTGGACGAAAACCATCGCATTGGAGTAGCACAAGGAGAGTGGATAGTAGCCAATGTGGTCGAGTGTTATCATCTGGTGACAATAGTCCGATGAGAAGAAGTAGGTAGGTTGAGATTAGCATTTCTGGGTGTTATTACGCATGCGTTTTCAACATTGATCAGAACGAGTAAATTTGAATCGAGGCATATATTGTTTAGATTATGGATGAACTCGAACAACAACAACCAGACCATACGACTGTTATTGGAATGCAGGTCAAAGCAGGTTCGTTTTTACAGGATTATTTCATAAGTTGGAAAGTTTCCTTGTTTATTGACACGTCTTTTGTTTTGTTTTTTGTTTTCAGAAAGTAATGGTACTACAGGATCGCATGTTACAACAGTACCTGTTACAACATACATGCCAAGCGAAGCTCTCGTACCAATGCCCGTTCTCCCGCAGTCTGGCGCTGTAAGTTTCTCGTGAACTATTTTCTCTTCTATTTTTATTTTATCTCATTTTGTCGGTTATTTTTGCCTTTTGTAGAAACCTGTGTTGCGTATTTTGTAAAAGGAAAAGTTTAAAAAAGATATGTGTTGTATCAGTTATATGAATTTTTCTTCCATATTATCCCTGTAATGACAGATTCGCTACCGCTGCAGAGTGAGGATTTAGATCGTAATACCGGAAGTGGATGAATAATTCAAAAGCTGATTCGAAAAGATTTTTTTGTGTGCTGCAGGTTATATAACAGAATCGTTGTGAATATCCGATTTCTTATAAAAATACCAAGCTATACCGCGTTTTGTTTGCTAGTTGAGCTGCGGCGTTTCAAAAAAATTTAACTTTCATTCTTTTTTCAAGATTATTGTTGGGCCTGGAGCTAAGAAAGAGGCTCAGCTACTCGGGTTGGGCCTTGTAAAATTGCGCAGCAAGCAGAAGGATTGGTTAGCAGATGCAAAAAAATATGCTAAAGAACAGTCAATCAAGCAAGTACTTCTCAGACAGACACTTGCACACCAGCAAAATGTTAGTGCAACATGTATATAAATTATTTAGAAGAAGGTTAATGTGTGTTGTTTCTGAACTTCATAATATTACTTGATTGAAGGAATAAGTTGTATGAAGAGGAGTTCTTTGTAATTTTGCATATAGAAGAAAGCTGATTCTGGAGACTTGAAGGGAGCAATGCGTGAATTAACAAATTTTTACTGATTTTAAATTTCTGAGCAATTTAGTAATTCTTTTATATATCTTCATCAGAACTAGTCTTCATTACAATTCATAAGACTGTGCTATTTTTGGTGCTGCAATCATCTTATTGTTTCAGCAACAAAAAGTGGCAATGTATGCACAGGCTTTATCTCTTATGGCACGTGTTTATATTGGTTCGATCAGTTTTGAAGTTCGCGAAGAAATGATAAAGAATGCCTTCGGTGTATTTGGTCCAATCAAATCAATTAATATGAGTTGGGATGCCGTTACAGGGGTTAGTTCATACCAATCCAGGCGGCATGAGATGATAAGAAAATGTTTCTACCCTTTCCTTGTGAAGTTACGTAAAAAAATGAAGTCTACAAAGCGGTTTATAGACTAGATTTTATGAATTGTCGCTAGTTTTATTTGAAATACTGTTTAGAATTCTTTTTGTTGATGTTCCTAATATTGAAAGGGTTCTGTACTTAGTGGTTAGATAACTCCAATGATATTATCGTCGTTGTCGATGATCGTGATTTGCAGAATAATTGGTTTATATAAGGAAACTAACTTGTACTGCATGTTGTACTATTTTAGCATCACAAAGGTTTCGCATTTTTGGAATACGAAATCCCAGAGGCAGCGCTTTTAGCACAGGAGTCGATGAACGGTGTGCTGATGGGCGGCCGCAATCTCAAGGTTAATGTTCTAGTCAGTTAATTATCTTATTATCTTTTATTGTGTTTTCTTTTGTAATCCTGGACGGACTGTCATGGCTGCTGAATTCTTATAGACGGATCTTTTATTCAATATCCTTACTAAAACATTATTAAGATGCACAGGTGTTAGTTATATGCTTCAAAAGAGTGTAGATTAGGTAGATCTCGAGTATTACACACTGATCTCAATTTTGAGGTCGGACGGCCATCAAATATGCCACAAGCTCAGCCGATTATTGAAATGGTGATGCAGGAAGCGAAAGCATATCATAGGTTAGTACCTCAAATTTGGATACTTATGGGTTGTTTTTCTAAGATTTAGTTCATTGTAATCATAATATTAGTGCCTTGAATAGTTTCCAGTTGTTCACTGCCAATTATATGAAACTTTTATCAACAAAATTTATCATTGTAATCATAATAGTAGTGTCTCGAATAATTTCCAATTGTTCACTGGCAGTTATATGAAACCTTTTTCAACAAAATTTTATCTACTAAGAATTTTACACTTTTATCTGCATACGAAAAGTATGAGTATTTGCAAACATTTGTTTGAAAATTAATTAGGTTTTCGAGACTTATGACACATACGTCCTTCCTTTTCTAGTTAACTCCTTCCAGGGTCTACGTTGCATCGGTTCATCCGGATCTCTCAGAATCTGATCTCAAAAGTGTATTTGAAGCATTTGGTGAAGTAACAAAATGTCAACTAGCCAGAGCTACGGGGCCGAACGCTGGAAGCGGACATAGGTAAAAAGCATACAGATGCCATTTTATACTGTGAACATGTTATTCGTGTTACCTGGTCCTATTATATTTAGTATTTCGTTTATGCCATTTCCTAATGGAATTTTTTGAGCCTTAACAGATATTTCATTTACGGTTCTTTCCTGTAGAAACATAAAATTACTGAAATTTAATTACTTCTATCACCCACCAATCGGTCGTTGAAATTGAAGGAAACATGTTTTTTTCGTACTGGTAAGCAATTATTTTTCAAACTGTTGCAGGCGATTTCAGTTTGATATTTTTTTTTTTTTTATTCTATAGATCTATTAAATAAGAGTTGAACAATGTTGCAGAGGTTTTGGATATTTGGAATTTAGTAATGCTCAGTCAGCAAATGAAGCCATTGCTGGGATGAATATGTTCGACCTTGGTGGTCAGTATTTACGCGTTGGGAAATGTATCACACCACCGGATGCACTAACATATATCGTTCCCACATCTGCCGTGAATCTGCCGACAGCTGCAGCTGTTGCAGCTGCTGAAGTTACTGCTAAAATTCAAGCCGAAGAAATGACTGCAAAGAAGTCACCTGTTCACACTGCCAGCACGTCTCCGGTAGGCTGAAATATAACCATAAACTGTGGGATATATTACCTACTTGATACTAAATCAAATCTGAAATGTGATCCATTCACTTAATTAGATTGAATCTGCATCCTTCATCAACGTTCAGCATTATCAAATTTTTTCAATTCAAAACTTCTGATTTGCATAAAATTTGCATCCATAAAACGCATCTGTTGCTTTTACAGTTGTCAGGAGGTATTACGGTTCGGCAAAGCTCACCGCAACCATATAATATGCAAGCGGCGCCACCGGTAGGTGTTCCAACAGTTCCGCCTGTTGGAATAACAACTGTTCCAGTGGTCGGGCTTGCAACAATATCACCAGTAACAGGAGCAAAGCCGTATGCTCCAGCGGTTGTTCCCCCAACACCTCCGCCATCTACTGTAGTTGTTCCTAATCAGGTATCTCTTTTTAATATGCATGAATTTAGAGAGTTCTACTGTGTTGTGAGAAATACCAGGAAATGTTTTACCTTGAACTGACAGAAATACATGAAAGACATAATAAAAATTTGAAATTCCTTTCTAAGTTTTTAAAACTTACTAATTCTTTGAAACCTTTCTTGTGCAACGTGTTATTGTTGTCTTCTAGATTTCAACGCCACCTACACCTGTTGCAACGCCACCACTTCCACCGGGACCTCCTCCAGGTGCTGGTGGTAGTACCCGTCGAGGATTTGGTGGTTTTGCCGTGCAGACACCTCCTGTGCAAGTTGTTAGCATTCCGCCACCACAAGTAATAACATCAATACCAACACCCGCTACCACAATTCCGGTACCACCGCCACCAGTACGTATTGATTTCAAAAAATTTCAAGAAAAAGTACTCATCCGGCTAGAACTGAAAACGTTCACTGTATTATAATAGAAAATTTTATATGTAGATTTACGAACAAAGGTAATGTCCTGAGTATGTTTTTGAAATTTTGCAAATCGTGCAGGTTTCTTCAATACCGCCACCTCCTGCAACATTGTCGTCTACACAGTCATTAATATCGAGGATAAACATTACCACTCCAACAAATTCTGCTGTTGAACCTGCTACATTTGCTCCACTTCCAGCTAACATTGCTCCTATAGATCGTAAAACGTTAGTTTTTAAATTTTTAAAACTGGACCATTAAAGAAAAAAAAAATCTGTTTAGAATAAATTGCTGCATTTTCTGAAGTAGGTTGAAATGAGTTTACTGAAACGGACTCGAGTTTACGATAAGATTGCAGAGTTTAATTGAACTAAAATCTTATAAAAACAAAAGTAAGGAAAAAAAAAATACGTAGACGGAGGACAAAGGTGTAAAGCAAAGGTTTACTCTGAATGGAAGAAAAAACAGCTGATAAGTTAAATTCAGGATGGCTACTACTGATGGCGTAATGGATCAGCTTGCAATTGGTCACGCATCAACAAGTGATTCCGGTAGTATGGCTTTGGTTATTTCTGATAGTTCCATACCAGGTCGACGCGATTTGCAGAGGACGAGTGGGAGCAGTAAAGAAAAAGGATCAAAACCGGATGATAAACCACAGAAAAAGAAGAAGAAAAAGCCAATATCCGTTGTACCAAAAGGACCACAGGTTTATTCGTTTTTGCTTACATTTTCATAGAATCTCTTGTATTCATTTTTTTTATTTTAGATTAGAGGTTTTTGGTTTGGACTTCGTTTTAATATTTAATTTGAGTAGATATTATTGCAGTTGAACACTCCTCAAGCACTGGAAGCAGCAAGCCGGGCTGGTGAACTCAATGATCAGATGGCTGCGCAGAATGCTAATTCAGATGATGTATCACTGGCTGCTCAAGAAGGGTTAGAAATCAGAGGTAAGACTTTTGGTCATAGAGCTGATTTTGGATTTCTTTTTATAGAGCGAACTTGGGTCTTGATATTTGGGTATTTTGACCCGATTTTTTGGTTGAATATATCGTCATTTTGTTTAAATTATTTCGCTAATTTCCTCGAAATATGTATAACTAAATTTGTCCATCACTTAGGGAACGATGCAAGGCATCTGTTAATGCACAAACTAATGCGAACAAATCGATCAACAGTGATAGTGCTGAAAAATATGGTAACGATTGAAGAATGCGACGATGAACTGGAGGGTGAAATTCGTGATGAATGTAACAAATATGGCAAAGTGCAAGAGGTAAGGAGGGCAGTAAACTTGAATAGTATGATAATGAAGAACTCCGTACTTCTTTACTGAGAGTTTAATTTTGTTTCTTGTGATAGCGACTGGAATGCGTTTTTAACATCAGTGTTGTTTGCCAATGCTTAATAAATGTGGAGAGTGCTAAATTTCACATGTACCAATAAATTCTAATTTCATTTCCGATATTTTATCTTTTTTGATAGAGGCATAATATTTCTCGAAAAAAAATTTCGACTTCAAAGTTTTATGGACCTATGTAACTATAATAGTATTTTTCAGGTTGTAATAGCTCAAGATCCAGCAAACGGTAGTGTGAAGATATTTGTGCGATTTGATAATCCACAGGAAGCAGATACGGCGCGGCAGGCGCTAGACAAACGATATTTTGCTGGTCGTGAAATTTCAGCTCAAAATTATGATCAAATACTCTTCGATCATAATGATTATTCAGGATGAAAATTAGACTCAATTTAAGATTATGAAAGATTCTTAAGAAAAATGAAGTGTCTCCATCGGTTCAAAATGTTCTATACTTTTGGAATTATGCTGAATAATTAAATTTTAGATTTCGAATTCTTTCAGTAAACATCCTAGGGAAATGTTGTAGGTCTCCTGTAATGACGAGTTCTGGATTAGAGGGGCATAGCTTTTAAATTGTCAGGAATTGAACTAAAAGCTTGAAGAGAGCGAATTACTTCTGGTCAATCTATTATTACTCTGTTCATATACTTATGCTTGTTTGTTTGTTTGTTTAAAATAGTTATCAGTTGATTTTGGCATTCTTTGTTGGCTGTCAGGACAGAAATAAAATGAGACATTTCATTATTATTACTTTTCAAAATTTTTGCCGAAAATATCGGAGCAGTACTTTTGAAACAGTGTTTCAGTAATTGAATACTTTTATACATACATAAATTGAATTTTTAATTTTTTAGAAATTGGAGTCTCTTTCCTTCTCCCTGTGAATCAAATTAAGCTGAGCTACTCAAATGTCTGAGTTTTAGTGGTAGTTTCCTTCTTCCTAAATTTCATACTTCAGAGCAGAAGGAAAGTGCCCAAAAAGGCACTTTCAGTGAAGTGAATGGTGTTAAAAATGCTGGAAGGGTGGTTTTGATGTGATGAAGTATTATAACAAGGCAAACCGTCGGGCCACTACCATTTTGAACAATCATCCACTTAAATGCATTCTCGACATTCGCTCTATTTATTTTTATTAGAAATTAGTTATTGCTATTATTATTAATTATTTATTATAATTGATATTATTATTAAAAAGTAATCTTTTTTCTCTTTAATATTTTTGAAAAGTCTTTATCTTTTTCTTTTAATCGTGAAATTAAATCGATAACGCATGTTCTCGAAATGTTAGATAAGTGTTTATTACCAAAAGACATCAGAAAGAATGGAATTAAGGAAGAGTGCTGAATGTGCGATACTGATTCATACTGTTTTATTTCGTCTCGTTGTTTCGTGTATGGTCGCTAGGTTACTGTTTTTGAATGGGAAAAATTTTTCAGCAGATAGTTGGAGTAGTCGGTAGCATGTGAGATATAGTTATATCCCCGGAAGCAGTCATATACTATTGTCATCATCAATGCAACTATTTTCCAGAAATAAGAAAATCATAGTGGTATTATTACGATAACATTAGGATCAATTTGAGGTACACCACAGATTTAGAAGCTTAGAAAAATCTCTGTTTCTAAATAATTTAACTCAAGAATTTCAGTTCAATTGATTGTCGTGAATCATTAAAATTTTCATTTTTTTTTTCTTACTTTTCGTTTTTCTCTATTACTACGATCATAAATATAACGATTGTTACAGGATTCATTAAAGCATGGCAACTGCAGTTCGAGGGTGTGTATTTTGTAGTATTATACATGGTCAACGTGACAAGCATTTGAAATCATCTGATAATGTTAGTAGTCACTTATGAGATTGTCAAGTGAACAGCTGAAATAGAAGATTTATAGATTACGACAATGTTTTGTTGCAATCTTTTAACTACTTAAGACTGCTTCTTTAAGACCGTAGTTATATGCCTTACTTTTTATATGTCTGACATTGTCTTCTAATGACATATAACAGTCATATTTGAATTTCATGCATAGAACTTATGCTTTTCATGCATAAAGCTTATGCTATCTGAAGGTATTTTTTGTTCACTTTTGTATTCTTCCTGTGATTGTTTTAATTATATCCGGCGCACTACAAATTTGTGCTATAAAATAATGAACTGAAGCAGTTACTTTAAAATTATTTTTTCCTGTTTACTGTTTACTTTCGGAAACGACATTTAAGGCGGTGGTAATTCAAGATAGATCACCACATGCACCACATCACTATCTAATACTCAGCAAACTGCATATCAATCAAGCAAGTGATTTAACAGTTGTTGATCTTCCCCTTGGTGAGCTATTTCTTAAGACTTTTGAAGATATGCTGCACAGTGTTGTCCACCACTAATACCGTTTATTTGCTTGAAGCAATTATTGATGGATTTCATTATTTCTTCAGTGGTTAGAATTTATAATGAAAATAAATTTATGAAATACTGCACTAATAGAAGTCCATCTGAAGTTTAATTTAATAAATTATTTATTTTCAAACATTTCGAAATCACACGTTAGTTTTAGTTGAAATTATGTGTCATTGTAAATTTAGAAACTGGTATAATTTCAAATAGTGTTGTAATAACAGTAATTCTTTGCATTTCTTACTGTATTTCAGTAAAAGAAATGGATCATCTTGGACGAGATTATTTGCGCGAAACACTGAAGGAGAAGGGTGAAGCTGATACTGTGGAAGGTTTGCTACGAATGGGCTTTCACTGGTCAATATTTGTTACTGTGCGCCATCTTCATATGCATCTGCTGTATCCGACGAGAGAGGTAAATTAAAATTTGATTGTATATAAATAATGACGATGATATACATTCATTTAATATGTACATCTTCATATAAAACGCAGTTATTTCATCTCAAATTATTTCGTAGTAACTAAAATTTCATTATTGCAGATGAATTTCATATATCGGTCGATAATATTTCGATCGGGACGATTTTTCCGCACAACAAAAAATATTATCGATAATCTGGAAAAGAAAAAAAGTGCTGATGGTCGATTAGATCGAAAAAAGGAGGTGAAGAGTACTCCTGCCGCAACTGGTCAAAATGATTTACCAGATACAACGTAATGTTTATCTTCCACTGTGATGTAATTTAATCGAAAATTTGTAACTTTGTGATAGCACCTTCAAATGATGGTTGAAATTAGCAGATTTTCTTTGACTATTAACTTCTAATCCATGACATTTTCCCTACCTACTACTCTTTTTTGTGCTTTTTCTCTAAAGAGCCCCTTTTTATAACATTATCTGTCTATCTCTCTATCTATATATATGACATCAAATAAATTTGTCTGGATATCACTTAATTTTCTGGATTCTACTTCATGTATAGTTTGTGTAATATTCACATTTCGGTATTGAATGCGATAATGGTAATTGATAGCGCATAATTGATAGTAGCATTACATATTAACTTGCTATTTTTACAACAAAGCATTTTACTGATACTGTAATAATATGTAAGAAATGTATCGAATTTGTTTTTTCTGTGCATGACTATCAGTTACCGAACTGTAAATTTTGTACATAGCTTCTTTTACATGGTATATGATAATTGGGCATAAATACTAATTGTGTGCTAAGTGCTAATTCATTTATATGTTTAATTCTTAGTCATAAGTTGTAAATTGTACATCAAAAATGCCTCTGTCTGCATTTAATTTTTTTCATATTCAATTCCCATTCTTTCACTAACTTGTGATCTATCTATTGCACTAGGAGAGAAAAAACTAATTTTCATATTTTCAGCAGCAAAATGTGAAATACATGTCCAATTCATAACAGTTTTGTCATATATTTCACAATGCTTTGGTTCATCTAAAATTTAAATTTTCATTTGTCATTTTGCAAAAGTTCTGTGATTTAGTATAAATTTAATGAAATAAATTTTTTCTCTTCTTGTTATTATCAGAGTTTTTATGATAGATCTTATAATTTTAAATCTAAAATGATTTGTATGGTCTTCCTTACTCATCTTTTCAGGAAAAAAGTCAAATGAGTTCTGAAATGTAACATAATTTTATGTGAAATATGAAGATATAATAAGAATTCTGCTCATTCAGGAATGATTGTTGCCTTCATGTCTGAGGTCTCCTCATCTTCGGAATTAATTTTGCTCTTGAAAAAAAGTTTCTTGTCATCATGATTTATTGTAATCTCTGCTGTCATAAAAAAAGGAGGGTTCATCACTTTTACAAAAACCCATCACTAAATTTAATTGTATGGCAATGAAAGAAATTAAGCCTTTCAAGCCATTACTGCATTTACAGGAGGGTATGTTCTATTTTTTATTACATCTTTTAAAATGTATAAATAAACAATTTTATTTACTTTATCACAAAACTTGATATGTTAATTCAAGCGTTCAATTTATCTCCTCCGAGCTACCAAAAGCTGCTTGAGAATCGATCTCCTGCAGTATACATCACAAATACTACGATAATTTAAGGTTAGTTCTGTGACTGTCTGTCATCTATATTTTGAATTAGGCTAGTATTCATGTATAAGCAAAATGCTGTATAGAGGAAGGTATCATTTAAATAATCTGGAATGATAAAAATGCAATCAAACCATAAATGTTGATAATTTTTTGTCTTGTTCAACAGTTGTGTTTCCCTCATTACCTTCTATTGTTAGTAATCGACTCAAACGTTTCGTTGGATTCATGCTTAAAAATTTCTTACTATTGAACTTACATCAAATTAAAATTCCGTATTAATAATTAGTTTGATCACATTGATATTCTGATTGAAGAGCTTTATCTGGCTAATTTAAAGCAAAGAAAAAAGATGAAAAGAATACCCTCCTACGCCCCATCCAGAACAAAATCTGTCCAAAATTTGACTTCTTGTTCGTTCTGTCAGTTTCATGAAATCTGCATGATTGATCATTGGAAGTGCAAAGTGTCGGCAGCTGAATGAGAAATTTCGTGAAAATGATCGTGAAAATTTTTGCATTTTTTTTTTTCAGTAAATGATTAAAATGATTTTATTGCTTTCAAAATTGTTTTTTGGAAATTCCAGTGTACATTTTGAAATTTTATCTATATAATCTTATTTTAACTAAATTATATATATATAATCAAAAAGCGACATCAATGTAATAACATTCAACTTGATCACTAATTATTAAATAGTTTAAATTAGCTACCAATGTCATTTTGTATAACAAAATTTTTTTCTTAATTTTATAATAACTGATGAAAGAATCATAAATACATTAGTAAATGTTCATTCTTATAAGATATTTTATGTTGCAAAAAAAGAAAACTTGCAATAACCAATTTAAAATTATACCTATTTTCTATTCGATGTAAATTTCGGCGTAAAAGATTTTCTAAGTTATATTTTTCAGCTAATTCGAAATATTCAATGAATCGTTCAGGTGAAATTGGCGGTTCTTGAATTAAATACTACAAAAAAAAAAAAAAAAAAGGAAAAAGAAAAGCAACAATAAGCTTGAAGTTTTCAAAATCAATGTCGGTATTAAACAAATTGAAACACATTATAATTAAAAATGAAATTAAGGGATTTATTTCATAATGTCCACTTAATTACCATATTTACCTATTAAAATGAAACTTTTTTTAGATAATCTTTGTGCAAAATTTACAACTCTTAGTGTTATTAGCTACTTATTATTTCTCTTTTTTTATTTTATCACCAATCACTTCTCTATCACTCGTTGTTTCATACTTATCATCCATACAATTAAGAACACTGTCAAACTTATAATTCAATTTTTACTATATTTTATGTTTCAGTTATAACAATCCTAATCTATTAGACTAATTAAATTATGCTAATGCTACATTTTCAATTGAGTTTATGGCATTTTCCATGTGATAAGCGCTACAAAATAAAAGCATTGGTCGTAGTAAAATGCTTTCGATAGGTTTATTCCAGGGATAAATATGTTGAAGCAAAGCCTGAAATTGCTTAATTCAATATTTTAAATTCGTCAATTTGTATTATCGCTTTCCTTCTCTCTCTCTCTCTCTCTCTCTCTCTCTCTGTCTGTCCCTGTCTCTCTCACTCCACCTCTCTGCTTTCTTTCTCTTTTTCCCATTTTTAACCAAATTCTCCGCAAAATTATTAATTTTTATCGATTTATTTATTGATCAGACGATTCAAAAGAATGCAAATGTCGGCGTTTCTCTTTTTTTTAAGTTCAATCATAGAATATCAGAAAAAGTTTTCTGCAATTGAAAAAAATTAAAAAATATTCGATTTTGAGTGAATTATAATTTAATCATATTTAAACAGCAATTTTAACATTGTTTGTGATATTTTGAAAAAGTTTTAACAATCATTTCCTGTCTTCAATAACTTTCTTTTTTTTCTAATCATTATATAATTAATATTGATTAACTTACTTCAACAATATATAATGGTGTTTTATTTATTTTTGCACATTCCTCTGCTAATTCACAACTCACTTGCACTATCATTTCACCTGCAAAATTTTAAAAATATTATAAAATACACTGAGTTTAATCAATGATATTTTCAAAATAATTTACTTTCACACAAATCCCAAAATGACTTTAAATTTGATGCAAAAGCATTAAATGGAGAATATAAATAAGCTTTCTGGCATACCTTTATTACCTCGACCAAACATTGCATCGTTATTTACTTTCATGATACCTTTATTTACATATAATTTAGTACCATTAACAATTAATATCACCGTATCATTATCATCATGATCATTTTTGGGTGGGTTACGAAAGTTAATCTCTTTGAAGAATTGATCACGTACTGGTGTTCCCAGTGGTAATGTTTTAGCCTAGGAAATAGATTTTACTCACTTTTTATGCAAATTATTTTATGCTAATGTATTATACTATTGTGATGACGTGTGATATTATCATGATAACGTTTAATACCACTATAAAAACGTGTAGTATTGCTATTATAGTAGATAATTCTTTCTAATTACTAAAACTTTTTAATTGATTTATATTTTATAAATGAAAATAACAAATTTTGATGTTATCGATAAAGCAAAAAAAAATTATTTTCTAAAAGTTTTTTTTTTCAGTCATAGATTGATCATTCAATTTTACTTTAGCATCATAAATCATTAAATTTAAAAAAGAAAAAAACATTGGAATTAAAAAAAATCAAAATGAGAAAGGTTAGAAAAATAATTTTCATGCAATATTAGTATATTTTTTCATTTTTATAGTTTATAAATTAACAAACCTTAGCAACTGCAGGTAAAATAATATAATTATATATGGCATCACCGTATTCCAATTCCGGATTTAATCCATTACGGATAATATCTACCCAGTAACCATCCTGTTCTGCTTTGTAAACTAACTCTTCGATAGCACTCGGTAGTTCAAGTTTGATTGCTTCCGTTATCTTTTGCTCCATATACATCTAATCATGTTGTATTATTAATGACAATAAATTTTTATTATTGTTCAAATTAATAAGATAAATTAAAAAATTTTAAATTAAAGCAATTTGTTAATAAATGAAATTGAAACTTATTGACAGTTACAGCATTGATTTGAATATTTTAAATAAAATTTCAAAATAAAAACAAAAAAATGGTGAAATATTGATAATGAGCTTACAGATTCATAGTTGACAATATAGGAAGTAATTCGATCAATGATACCATCCGCTTGGAAACCAACTGCTGCTCGAGTTAAACTCTTTAAATTGGCCCATATTGGTCGTTTGGTTGGATAAATCTGAATTGTAACCAAATTTGAGCAAAAATTGATTTTTTAAAAGTTAGAATTATTTTTTGAAAAGTTAAAAAGAGTTAAAATCAAACCTGATATAAAAGTTCCTTAAAATCATTTGCATCCGTATCACCCATATCAACTATATCACCCTCTTCTGCATACTTTAACTTTTCAGCTGTAACATAATTAGTTCAAAATTAAATCAAATTAATCAAATTAAATTCTATTGCTGAATAGTAAAGCACCCAAATAAAATTATTAATAAAGAAATGAATGAAGTAATTCAACAATCCGTATTACTGCTATTTTTCTTTTAAACAAAAACAAAAATTTGTTGAAATAAAAAGTTGCATATTCA